GAGATGCTAAGAACACTAAGAAGAAATTTAGCACACACATGAAAAGTAGTTTTATTGATAACAAATTGCAGGCATATATAGCCTTTTACAAAGAGATAAAATTGAAATAACAACCCACGTTTTCAACATCCTAAAACATAGTAACAAACTAAGAGGAATTCGTCAAAACACTAACCACTATTTCCTAAAGAATAGGACTTATTAACAAACTGAAATAACTAAAAGATCGGATCTAACATTCCCTCCCTTAAACTGTATGCAAAATGCATTCAGTTTATATTAGGAACTTCACACTCGCCCGGCAAACTACGAAGCTTCAAAAACACCTCAAACCTGAGCGGCTTTGTCATAATGTCAGCTACTTGGTTTTGAGTATTACAATGTCTTAAATCAACCACACTATCTCTTACCAATTCACGAAGAAAATGAAACCTAATGTCAATGTGCTTGCTTCTTCCGTGAAGAACAGGATTCTTGGAGAGTTTTATAGTTGAACTGTTATCACACAAAATTGTAGTAGATTTCTCGTGCATGTAACCAAGCTTTGTTAAAACTCTTCTTAACCAAACACACTGACAAGCACGTGAGGCAGCTGCAATGTATTTGGCTTCAGTGGTGGATAAGCTAACCACAGGCTGTTTTTTGGATGACCACGACACCGGTCCAAAACTAAACATGAATACATACCCCATTGTACTCTTCCGATCATCTAGATCTCTAGCAAAATCACTATCTGAGTAAGTTGTGAGTTGCTTATAGTCTCCTTTCCTGTAGAAAATCCCCAGATCAGTCGTTCCTTTCAAATATCTTAGCAACCTCTTCGCTGCCAACCAATGTTGCTCTGTAGGACACGACATGAACCTACTGATAAAACTCACACCATACATCAAATCAGGTCTGGTTGCAGTTAAGTACATGAGATTGCCAACCACCTGCTTAAACAAACTTGCATCAACCTTAGCTTCCTTCTCATCCTTTGACAATCTGCAACCTGGAACTATGGGGTTCTTCACCGAATTGCTTTTGTCCATGCCAAATCTTTCTAAAATTCATAAGCATATTTTCTTTGACACACATAAATCCCATCAGAATGTTGTAGTACTTCAATCCCCATAAATATCTCATTTTTCCCAAGTCAGACATGTCAAATTTTAACATCATCGACTTCTTAAACTCTTCACACATGCTCTTGTCATTCCCAGTAAAAATTAAATCATCAACATAAAGACTGACAATTAAGGGCTTACCTCCTTCCTTCGACTTTGTGAATAGGGTGGTTTCATAATGGCATTTTTCAAAGCCCTCTTTAGCAAAATAGCCTTCAATTTTGCTGTACCAAGCTCGTGGAGCTTGTTTAAGGCCATACAACGCCTTATTCAGCTTATAAACCTTGTGTTCCTCGCCCTTTTTCTCATATCCCTGAGGCTGTTGGACATACACTTCCTCACTAAGCTCACCATACAAAAATGCGTTCTTTACATCAAGCTGAAAAATACTCCAAATGTATAGTATCTAGTCTTGCAACTGGAGCATAAACTTATGTGTAATCAATCCCATATTGTTGTGCATATCCCTTTGCTACAATTCTAGCCTTGCACTTGTCTATCTCACCATTTTCATTGAGTTTTGTTTTAAAAACCCATTTAACTCCAATAGTCTTCACTCCTTTAGGTAGAATAGTCAGGTCCCATGTTTTATTACGTTCAATGCCCTCAATCTCTGCATTCATTTCATCTCTCCATTTCTTGCTCTTCACAGCTTCCTCGAAAGTAATGGGATTAGCTTCTGTGAGAACCGCCATGGCACTCAAATCTTCTCCGTTTCATAATCTTGCATCCAACGTGGAACTCGTCTTGCCCTCCCTTAGAATTGGACCCGAGGAGTTCTCATCATGTGACTCACTGGAAGGTGAGCTAGTGCCACTTAAACCAACTCCATTTGTGCCATTTGAACCAGCTTCTTCATTTTCGTTAGCCTCTGCCCCAAATTCCCCTCCATTCTTGGCTTCATCTCCTTCTTCTTCACTATCACCCCACTCTAACACATCTGAAGCCATTTCTTCCCTGCTCATGTTCCAATCCCATCCCTCATTCTCCTTAAAAACAACATCCCTACTAACAATTATTTTCTTAGAAACCGGATCAAACAATCTATAAGCTTTTGACTCATCGTTTACTCCCAATAAAACACATTGAATGCTTTTGTCATCTAACTTGATTCTTTTTTGGTCTGGTACGTGCACATGAGCCAAGCACCCAAAAATCCTGAAATATTCTATTGTAGGCTTTATACCACTCCATGTTTCCTCTGGAGTTCTATTTTGCACGGCTAAAGTAGGGCACCTGTTGAGGACTTGCACACACCATCTCACAGCTTCTGGCCAAAAAGCCTTTGGAACCTGCTTCTCAGTGAGCATACAACGTACCAAATTCATCATAGTCCTATTCTTCCTCTCAGCAACTCCGTTTTGCTGAGGAGTATAGGCTGTGATTAATTGCCTGGTTACGCCATTTGCCTTGCAAAACTCCCCAAACTCATCTGAGGTAAACTCACCACCTCTATCAGTCCTCAAACATTTAAGGTAGGCACTTGCTTCCTTTTCAACATAAGCCTTATAACTTCTAAACATGGTAAAAGCCTCTGATTTTTCATGCAAGTAAATCCAAGTCTTACGACTAAAATCATCGATAAGACTCAAGAAATACCTCTTGTTGCTATTTGATGCAGGCTTTATAGACCACATATATCGGCATGCACCAGCTCCAGCTTCTGTGACGCCCTCCAAAGACTTCTTTTTGGAATGGATTCCCTATGCTGCTTTCCAACCAAACACGTTGTGCATAACTTTGCAGGTGTTTTAAGTGAAGGCAGACCACTGACCATCTTTTTGTATTGAAGGGTTCTCAACCCTTTGAAGCTCAAGTGTCTGAATCTGCAGTGCCACAAATAACTCTCATCTTCTGTCACGGCTTGAAAACAGGTAGTAGCTTTAGGCATCATTGCTGCAAGCACAACAAACATCCTGTTCGCGCTCATCTCGGACTGAATAATTAGACCCTTACTAGGATGAAAAACTTTGCACTTCCCCTGTTGAATCAGAATTGCCATTCCTTTTTCTTGAAGCTGCCCCATACTTAACAGGTTATTTTTCAACTCAGGAATGTAATAAACCTCAGAAATTACCTAAGTGAATCCATTCACTTGCATTCGAATGTTTCCTTTCCCCATAACTACCATCCTTGAGTTGTTGCCTAGTTTCACAGTTTGCCTGAATTGAACATCCAAATCCGAAAACCATTCTTTATTCCCACTCATATGATTACTACATCCTAAATCGAGGAACCAAACCACTTCTCTCTGAGCATGGTTAAGCTCTACATAGGACATTAATAGCAGCTATTCTCCTTCGTCTAGTTCAGCATAGTTGGTTCTATTCTCCCAACTAGGACACTCATACTAGAAATGTCCTAATTTGTGACACTTAAAGCACTCGATAGTAGCCTTGTTGAATGGTTGTCTGCCACAACCTCTTCTTCTTCCTCTGAACACCCCTCGACCTCTTCCTCTGCTAGTGTTGTCTTCATGAGTCACCTTGAGAACCTGTTCCTTTCCACGATGGCCATTCATTCTTTGTTCATGGACTAGCAAACTGCTCTGCAGCTCGTCAATGGTCATTGTGTTCAAATCATTGGATTCTTCAATGGAGCAAACCACATAATCAAATTATGAGGTCATGGACCTCAAAACTTTCTCATTGATAATGGTTTGGCTCATTGTCTCACCATGAGCCTTCATTTTGTGGCTATAGTGAGAGTACGAGCAAAGAAATTATCGATAGTCTCACCCTCCTTCATTTGGAGAGTGTCAAAATCCCTCCGAAGTGCCTGCAACTGTGCCCTCTTCACCTTGGTAGAGCCTTGGTATTTCTGTTTCATTGAGTCCCAAATACCCTTTGATGTGTCTCTGTCAAGTATAGTCTCCAAGATATTCCGGTCTATAGCTTGAAAAAGGTAGTTCTTTACCTTTAAGTCCTTCTGCTTCTGCCCCTCAATCACTTTGCGTTGTGTTTCTGCCTGGTCCTCGACCCCTTGTGTCACCACCCCCGAAATCCCATTCTCTATGAGATCTCAATATTCCTTGGAACGAAGAAAGTTCTCCATCAACATCGCCCAATGATCGTAATGTCCGTCAAATTTGGGAATGGCTGGTTGCACGAAACCACTACTATTGCTTTCCGCCATTGTGCTTGACTCCCTTACTCTGAAAGAAAACTACAGTTTCTTTCCACACACACTCACAATCAGCCCTGTGATAGAGCTCTAATACCAAATGCTAAGAACACTTAGAAGAAATTTAGCACACACATGAAAAGTAGTTTTATTGATAACAAACTGCAGGCATATATAGTCTTTTACAAAGAGATAAAATTGAAATAATAACCCACGTTTTCAACATCCTAAAACGTGGTAACAAACTAAGAGGAATTCGTCAAAACACTAACCACTATTTCCTAAAGAATAGGACTTATTAACAAACTGAAATAACTAAAAGATCGGATCTAACAGATTTATGGATACCCAAGAAACCAGTTTCAGTGTTCTTATGCTTCCATGGTTGGCTCATGGTCACATCTCTCCCTTCCTAGAGTTAGCCAAACAACTCGCAAAGAGAAACTTCCATGTATACCTGTGTTCTACACCTATCAATCTCAGTTCTATCAAGGAAAAAATTGTTGAGGTGGAGAATCAAACTCTCTCAATAGAAATTGTGGAACTCCATCTACCCTCCTCTCCTGAACTTCCTCCTCATTACCACACAACCAATGGTCTTCCAATCCACCTCCAACCCACCCTAAGAAAAGCCTTTGAGATGGCAAGCCCGAGCCTCTCCAACATACTCAAGACACTAAACCCCCTCTTGTTTTTGTCTATCAATGGCCTTCAGCAGTAGCTTCATCACATAATATTCCGGTTATTCAATTTCTCACTTCCAGTGCAGCCATGGTTTCCTATTTCAGTCATTTAATGAGGACTTCGGATGTTGAATACCCTTTCCCCACCGTTTATCTTCGAGATTTCGGGTTAGCTAAGATACGTCATGCGCTTGAACCTTCAACAAGCAGTGGCCAAGGGAGTGATCGAGAGCGACAAGATGATTTCAAGTCCTCAAACTTTATTTGATTAAAAGCTCTAACGAAATTGATGAAAAACACATCGATTATGTCTCCTCTATGATTAAGAGGAAGGTCATTCCTGTTGGCCCTCTCATTCAAGACCCTGTTAGCAAAGATGAACATTTGGAGGTCATCGAATGGCTCGAGAAGAAGCATCACTGTTCAAGCGTGTTTGTGTCCTTTGGGAGTGAGTATTTTTTGTCCAAGGAAGAGATGGAGGAAATAGCAAATGGGTTAGAGCTCAGCAATGTTAACTTCATTTGGGTTGTTAGGTTTCCATTGGGAGATGAAACTATGGTTGAAGATGCACTGCCTAAAGGGTTCCGTGATAGAGTGGGAGACAGAGGAATTGTACTAAAGGGATGGGCCCCACAAGAGAAAATTCTAAGGCATTCAAGTATTGGTGGGTTTGTGAGTCATTGTGGATGGAATTCAGTAATGGAAAGCATGGAATTTGGTGTTCCAATCATAGCCATGCCCATGCAGCTTGATCAGCCTTTGAATGCTAGGTTGGTGGTTGAACTTGGTTTAGGGATGGAGGTTTGGAGGGACTATAGCGGGAACCTTCATAGAGTAGAGATAGCTAAAGTAATAAGGGAGGTGATAGTTGACAAAAGAGGAGAAGATATGAGGAGAAAAGCAAAAGAATTGAGAGAGAAGATAAGATTGAAAGGAGAGGAAGAGATGGATGGAGCTATGGAGGCGATATCACAACTTTGTCAGAAGAGTAAGGCGCAGTAATGTTCACACCATCATATCTCCACCAACAGCGGCGACAACAGACTCCTCCTCTTCCGCAGACAGTGGAAGCTGCGGAGTGGAACCCTCGGGCCACTGATCACATGGACCAAGTGATCAGAGTCAACAATTCCATTTTGCAGGACCCTCATGTCGCCAATACAGTGAGTGAGACGCTGCATTTCGAGGCCGACATGGCGGCTCACAGGGGGCGATCAACAAACGTGTTGTTTCGCTCCATCATCCAAAATTCCTTGGTGGTAAGTTCATCTTTGTTTCAGTCTCTTTTGGCCCCAATTTTCCTTTTAGTGACATACTCTTTTATTTGCAGGCCACCCAACAGATTTCCATAATAGCGGCGCGGTACCATGGGATTAGGATGGACCTTCAGCTGGTTCGAGAGTAGAAGGAAGAAGCCGAGGGAGCCCTTGCCAGTGCTAGGGAGGATGTCGCGGCAAGGGATTCCACCCTCGCGGGGCAGGCTGCTCAAATCGAGCAACTCCTCAAGGAGGCCGAGTTGGCGAAGGTTGGCGCTGAAAAGCTAAGTGCTGCCCTTGCCGACGCTGAGAGGAGAATAACTGAACAGACACAGCGGCTCTCTGCGGCAGAGGAGAGGGCTGTTGGTTCGGAGGAAAGCTGCCTGGCTCTAACCTAGGAGCTGGACAGGATCAGGGATGAGGCACTGAATAGGAAGTTCGAGGAGCAACTCCGACAAGAGTTCGCCGATGACGTGCTCCCTGCTCTTGAGGAAAACATTAAGGAGTTCTTCAAGAGGGGTTGGGACGAGGCGCTCCAGTCAGCTGGAATCCCGTCAGACTCTCCGCTCTTCCAGATGCACAAGTACGTGCTCTCGGCAGAGATGGAACGGGCCGAAGCAGAGATTGCTGCCGAGGGCGAGATTCCAACGCCGGTGCAAATTTCGGTGGATTCGCCTGAGGCGGTAATAGTGGATTTGCCTGAGGCGGTAATAGTGAATTTGTCTGATGAGGCCCTGCTGGACCGTAATATTCCTCAGGATCCTTCTATCGCCGAAGTACCTACCGCTCCGCTTGTTCCCGAAGCCGCTCAACCTTTCTACGCCGATTCGCCATCGGCGGACGTTTTGGAGATGCCCGGGGCAAGATGAAAGCCCCCCCCTTTTTTTTTCTTTTTGATCTGTATTTTTTTTTTCTTGTAGCTTTTGGGGATGCAAAGCCCCTCTTTTTGAACAAAGTTCTGTTTAAAGGTCCAATATCGGATAGAATGTGATTCATGATTCTGAATTCTTTCTTGCCTATACTTTCGTAGGAATCCTTGAACTGTCCTAGTAGGCTTGCTCCTGTGTTTGTTTCGGGGGCGAGAGTCTTTGAACTCCATCCCCAGGGCCTTGCCCATCCAGGAGGCTTGCTCCTGTGTTTGCTTCGGGGGCGAGAGTCTTTGAACTCCGTCCCCAGGGCCTTGTCCTTCCAAGAGGCTTGCTCCTGTGTTTGCTTCGGGGGCGAGAGTCTTTGAACTCTGTTCCCATGGCCTTGCCCTTTCAGGAGGCTTGCTCCTGTGTTTGTTTCGGGGGCGAGAGTCTTTGTACTCTGTCCCCAGGGCCTTGCCCTTCCAGGAGGCTTGCTCCTGTGTTTGTTTCGGGAACGAGAGTCTTTGTACTCCCTCCCCAGGGCCTTGCCCTTTCAGGAGGCTTGCTCCTGTGTTTGTTTCGGGGGCGAGAGTGTTTGTACTCTGTCCCCAGGGCCTTGCCCTTCCAGGAGGCCTGCTCCTGTGTTTGTTTCGGGGGTGAGAGTCTTTGTACTCTGTCCCCAGGGCCTTGCCCTTCCAGGAGGCCTGCTCCTGTGTTTGTTTCGGGGGTGAGAGTCTTTGTACTCTGTCCCCAGGGCCTTGCCCTTTATCTTTGTCGTTGGCAAGCACTGAGGTAGACAAATACCCAAAAATAGTATTTCTTTAGATTCATCACATTTCACGGTCGCGTTACAAGTTTTTCCTCTATATCTTCTAATCTGTATGACCTGGCGCCCCTGATAGATATCACTTTATAAGGCCCTTCCCAGTTAGGTCCCATTTTTCCTTCTGTTGGGTCTCGGGTATTGGCCGTTACCCTTCTGAGGACCAGATCGCCGATTCAGAATTCTTACGCCTTGACCTTTTTGTTGTACAGTTGAGAAATCTTTTCCTGGTACTTGGTTATTCTTAAGGCGGCTGTCTCTCTTTTTTCTTCCACCAGATCCAGATCAAGCCCCAGTTGACGGTCATTTCCCCCCGTGTCGAAAGCTTGAGTCCTTATTGTCTGGAGTCCTACCTCAAGAGGTATGATGGCTTCTATCCCGTAAGCCAGGGAGTATGGGGTTTCTCCTGTCGAGGACCGAGGGGTGGTCCTGTACACCCATAAAATGTTTAATAACTCATCTGCCCACTTTTCCTTGGCCTTCTCCAACCTCTTCTTGATTCCACTGATAATTCTTTTGTTGGAGGCCTCTGCCTGCCCGTTGGCTTGAGGATAGGCAGGGGTGGAGTAGAAATTACGGATTCCGAGTTGCTCACAGAAAGACTTGAAACGCCCGCCGGTGAACTGAGTCCCGTTATCTGATACCAGTGCCCGGGGAATCCCGAATCTGACGACTATGTTCTCCCAGACGAACTTCTTAGCATCTATGTCGCGGATGTGAGTCAACGGCTCCGCTTCAACCCACTTGGTGAAATAATCTGTGGCCACAATGAGGAACTTCCTGTTTCCAAGAGCCTTGGGCAGGGGCCCAACTAAGTCGAGTCCCCACTGGGCGAATGACCAAGGGCTAGTCAGGGGGTGCAAGTCCCTCGCGGGTTGCCTGATTGTAGGGGAGAACCTCTAACATTGGTCGCATTTTTGGACGTATGTACGCGCATCCCTTTGCATCCGCGGCCACCAATATCCCTGAGACATGATGCGGTGTGCCATCGATCGCCCCCCAGAGTGCCCCCTGCATATTCCTTCGTGGACCTCATAGAGAAGGTCTTCCATCTGGTCTTCTTGGACGCATAACAAGTAAGGTCCTAAGAAAGACCTCTGATACAACTTCTGGTCCGGAGAGACCCAAAATCTCGGGGCTTTGAGTTTTATCTTCCTTGCCTCTTTTGAACATTTCGGGAGGTCTCCTATTGTTAGGAACCTGAGAAAGGGATCAATCCAGCTGGGCGGCTTGTGTTCGTCCTGGACGGCCATTACCTCGGGAGCGTGGTCTATGCAGGATGCGGGAAGATATTCTATGGTGATCCTGCGTGACTGGGAGGAATCCACTGCCGAGGCTAGGCAAGCCAGGGCGTCGGCATGTGTGTTCTTGTCTCGGGACACTTGTTTGATCTTAATCCTTCCGAATCTTCGTATCACAGCTGTTGCCTGGAGATGGTAAGCCTTCATCCTATGATCCATTGTCCCAAACTCTCCGTTAACTTGGTTGACCACCAGCATGGAATCGCAATGCACGATCAAGTCCGTAACTCCAGTTGCCTTAGCTAACCGAAGTCTTGAGATGAGGGCTTCGTATTCAGCCTCATTATTTGATGCTTTGAATCCCAGCCGAACGGCTTGCTCTGCGACAATCCCATCTGGAGAGATCAGCAAGATATCGATCCCGGACCCCTTACTATTTGACGAACCGTCCACACACAAAAGCCATAACGATCCTTCACAACTTATTGGAGAGGCTATGTTGAGAGGAGGCGGTGTTTCTAGAACGGGGTGCTCCCCGGTAAACTCAACTATGAAGTCCGCCAATACCTGACTCTTTACTGCAGTTCGAGGTTTGAAATGAATGTCGTGTTCCCCCAACTCCACTGCCCACTTGGAAATCTTCCCGGAGAGCTCCGCTTTCCTCAAAATAGCCTTTAAGGGCTGATCGGTAAGGATGGTAATTGGGTGTGCTTGGAAATAATGCCTCAGCTTTCTTGCAGTGGTGACCAGGGATAGAGCTAATTTCTCTAGGGGCAGGTATCTTGTCTCCGCGTCCAGGAGCGCCTTACTTATGTAATAAATCGGCTTCTGGCGGTGCTCGTGCTCACGAATAAGTACCCCGCTTACCGCAAATTCAGACACGGCCAAGTACAAGAAGAGCATTTTCCCCTGAATGGGGACGGATAAGGTCGGGAGAGTCCTTAGGTATTCCTTGATTCCAGCCAGGGCATCTTCGCACCCCTAGCTCCACATTTCCTTCCCCGCACTCTTGATTGCTCCAAAAAGGGTTTGCATTTGTCTGAGGAGCGTGAGACGAAACGGTTAAGTGCTGCTAGCATCCCCGTGAGCTTCTGGACTTCTCGGACAGTTCGGGGGCTCCGGATGTCTAGGATCGCTTGAATCTGATCTGGGTTAGCTTCGATTCCTCGTTGGCTGACCAGATATCCGAGAAATTTACCCGATTCCACTCCGAAAACGCACTTTGCCGCGTTCAGCTTCAGCCCGTACTCCCTGAGGGTGGAGAAGGTATCGGCCAAATCTGCCAGATGATCACGACTTCGTTTGCTCTTTACCAGCATATCGTCAATGTAGACCTCCATGGTGTTGCCGATCTGCTTTTTGAACATCCGATTCATCAGTCTTTGGTACGTCGCCCCACCGTTCTTTAGTCCAAACGACATCACTTTGTAACAATAAACTCCTTTCAAAGTGATAAACGCCATTTTTTTCTGATCTGGGGGATGGAGAGAGATCTGGTGATATCCCGCTCGGGCATCCAGGAAGTCCATGCGTTCATATCCGGTAGTGGCATCCACTAGCTGGTCCACCTTTGGTAGGGGGTAGTCATCCTTGGGACATGCCTTGTTTAGATCTTTGAAGTCCACGCAGACACGCCATTTTCCCCCTTCTTCTTTGCGCAAACCGTATTAGATAACCATTCTGGGAACTGTATCTCCCGAATGGCGTTGGCCTTCAGGAGTTTGTCGATTTCTTCGTTGACCGCGCAGGCATGATGCGGGGCCATGCGTCGTGGCTTTTGTTTGACTGGCTTGTGCGTTGGATCAACATGCAGCTTGTGCGTGATTATCTCGGGGTCTACCCCCGTCATCTCTATTGCGTTCCAAGCGAACACGTCCGCATTTTCCCTTAGGAACTCAATCATCTCGTCCTGTTCGGCTGTGGGCATTGCAGTTCCAACTAAGAAATATCTTTCTTCTTCTCCCTCCATCAAGGGTACCTTCTGGAGGTCCTCTACTGACCGCTCAGTTGGGTTTATCCGGGGGTCATCCATTCCTGGACGCCCGGATTGTGATTGCTATTTTTCCATGATCTCTTCCGGTGCTCGTCCCTTTTCTTGGGTGAACGCTCCGGCTCTAACGGCTGAATAGAAACAATTTTTTGCAGACGCTTGGTCCCCCCGGATCTCCATGATACCTTCTGGCGTGACAAATTTTAGTTTCTGGTGGTAGGTGGAGTGCACAGCTCCCAACGCATGCATCCATGTTCGCCCCATGATCACGTTGTAGGGAGAGTCCGTATCAATTACGACGAACTCGGTGTTGATGACGAAGGGACTGGTGACAGCTGGCAATGTGATTTTGCCTATGGGCAGGGACGAACGAGCCGTTGAATCCGATGAGAAGTGTTCTGACCTTGGTGAGGTCCTTGAGGCTAAGACCCATTCGTTTTAAAGTCTCGGAGTACATCACTTCCGAGGAACTTCCAGAGTCTATCAACACCCTTTTGACGTCGAATTTTCCTATCTTCAGGGTCAAGACAAGGGCGTCGTTATGAGGAGTCACTACGCCTGTCAAGTCCGCGTCTGAGAACGTGATGCTTGGTTCACCAGTTCTGGCCCTTTTACTGGGTGGCCCTCCATCATCCTCGGCCACCTTCCTTGTAAAAGCTACCCTCTTGAGGTCGGACTCGAGTTCCTTGGACGTGGGGCGATCCAGGGGACATACATGGATGACATCTATGACGTTGTCCGGTTCCTCGGTCGGGGCAATGGTGTGTCTCTCTTCTGGCCTGGGCTCTATGTATTCTTTCAAGTATCCGTCTCGGACCAATTTTTCCAAGAATAATTTGTACACCCTGCAACTTTCGGTGCGATGTCCGAAATCTCGGTGATAGGAACACCTAACCCTTTGATCACGGGTGGAGGGATCGCTCTGCATCCTGGGCGGCCATTTGAAGAATGGCTCGTGCTTGATCTTATGGAGCAACTTGAAGATGGGTTCTTTGAACATAATGTGAACTCCTTTGGACGAACCCCCTGGAGAGGGCAGCAACCCCTTTCGGGGAGTATCTTCCCGCTCCCTCTCTTTTCTTTTAGATTGCAGGGTTCGGCCTTTGCTGCTTCATATCTCGTTTTCGATCCTTGAGTATTTGTTTATCCGAGCCATCAGCTCCCCCATATCCGAGGGAGTCTTCTTGGTCAGGGATTCGGTACAGGTCCGTGTCCCTCGCCAGGCCGAGCCGGAAAGACGCCGCTGCCATGACTTCCAAGCAACCTTCTACCTCATTAACCTCTTCCCAGTATCGGATGACATACTGGCGAAGGGTCTCAGATTCCCTACGTCAGAGGGTCAGCAATGATACAACGTCTTTGGGACGTTTACTCCCCGTAATGAATCGAGCCAGGAACTACCTCGTCAATTCCTTCCACGACGCAATACTGTTTGGGGGAAGCGCCTCGAACCACTTCATCGCAGAGTCCTCCAAGCTCATTGGAAACACTCGGCAGAGAAACCGTTGGTCCGAATGATAGAGGGACATCATCTGCTTGTATTGCCTGAGATGGGCTTCGGGATCGGACCGCCCGTCATAAGTTTTGAACCTTGGCACGATGAACTTTCTTGAAACCTCCATCTCTCCGATCTCCCTGGTAAAGGGTGTTTGTATGACCTCGTCTTCGACCTCATCCTGGATAGCCTTACTCTTTCTCTTGGATTCCAGCCGGGCTTTGAGATCAATTTTCTCCCTGACGGGATGTCTTCTGAAGTCCTTGAGTTCATCAATGGGCCCCTCATTTTCTGGGCGCTGTGCGGATAGGGAAGAATCCTCCTCGGACTCATCCCCCTCCCTTCGTCTAGACAATCCTCGCCGGAGGTCGTCTAGGGCTAATTATCTTGCCTTCCTTGAATAGTCGTTAGGAAGGTGCTCGTTGGCTCTCGGTCGCTTTGGAGCCCGGGAGCTCTCCGCCTTGTTGTTCAGATGATTCCTTAGATCTTTCATTTCCGCCTCCTGGGCGGGGAGCCCACGAGAGAGGAATGAGTCCCTCGATCCTTCGCCGGAGGCGGCGAATTCGTTGAGTCGGCTTAGGACGTTTACATTGTCCTTTCCCAGCTGTCGTAATCTATCGCCAAATTTTTTTTCGATCACCTCCGCCAGCTGACGAGCCAGGGGGGCTGACCCTCCTGACCTAATTCCCATACTGGTTTGAGGGGTAACCCCTCTGCACTGAGTGGAGGCATTTTTATTCCCGTCAGTGTGATCCTTTCCTCCGTGGTAACAGGGAGCTTGTAGTTCGAGACTTCTTTGGTGGGGACCTTTCCCTTTTTGTCGAGTGTTCACCATGGTCATTGTTCTTTATAGAGAAAAAACTAGGAAAACTAGTCGTTTCCCACAGACAGCGCCAGATTGTGCGTGCAGGATCTTGCACAATATAAAAAATGAGAACATATCTCTTTCTTGGTGAACTCAAGTGAGTCAGTTGAGTGATCAACCACGCTGCTTGGGACAGCCTGCGAGGTCCGGTGGTAACCTGAAACGGTAACGGAAGGCCCTCGTGAATTGAAGGAATGATCCAGTACGGCTGGAAAAAGGTTCCTGGAACAAAGGAGAACAAGTTAGAAGGGCGCCGGAGTGTTTTCCGGCTTATCCCCTTCGACGATCAAGTAAGTTTTTGAAAGGGAGAGGAAGAAGAAAGCACTGAGTATATCTCGTAGTAAAGAGTTTTTTGTTGCATACCGTTTTGCCTTTTATGAGGAGTATTTATACTTCAAAAACTCATGATTGCTGTCAGTGTTGTCAGTAGATGATCATTAGGTACAGGCAGTGTGCGCACTGATTCTGATGAGGAATGTCTTCCTTTCTTTAACTCTTCGGGGTGCCGAGCAATCAATGCTGTGTCATCGGGCTGCCGACTGTCTAATGATCTCCGCTCGGGGAGGATGCAATAAATGCCCAGCCTTAGAGACATTTATTGTCTTTCAATTCCGAGCCTTACCGCATTGAATGCGGTCTCATCAATGGAATGGTGTAATTAAATGTTTGCTTTCCCAAGTCACGTGTCAGTAAGGGCATGATGTCTTTCTGTCTCTGATGTGACACAATTTGCCACGCGTCCATCCCTTATTGGCTGTGGACCCTGCCTTCCTGTTCTTTCTGACACCAATTGTGTAAGACGAGACCATGACAGCTAACCTAGACTAGCCTAGGCTAATGACCTGTACATCAATAGCTTATACTGGAGCAGAGAAAAAGGCATCTTGGACGGGGGTACATCTCGGTACCGAGGACATGCACATCTTGGTACCGAGGATAGGTATATCTCGAGCCGAGAGAAGCCGTACATGATGACCGAGGTACCATACCAGACCGAGGTACCATATTAGATCGAGGGATACGTGTCGGTTCGTAAAACGTACTCGACATGTATCAAGTACCTCGGGGCGAGGGATTTGTAAGCCGATGGTACGTGATCTCAGTTAACAGGATTTTTAGTGACGCCCAAGAACACTTGTCTTCATTTTGGAGTATTTCAAAAAAGTCCCATCAATTTTCTTAAATCTTCATCAAGTGATAGTCAACAGAATGATCGTGAGCGCGAAAGCCCTTTTAAATCCTGTAACTTCATTCTGATCAAAAGTTCTAGTGAAATGGAGAGAAAGTATATCGATTATTTCTCCTCATTAATCAAGAAGAAAGTTATTCCGGTTGGCCCACTCGTTCAACACCCTATTAGCAAATATCAACGTTTGGAGGCCATTGAATGGCTTGCAAAGAAGAATCACTCTTCGACCTTGTTTGTATCTTTTGGAAGTGAGTATTTTCTGTCAAAGGAAGATAGAAGAGATAGCAAATGGGCTAGAACTTAGCAATGTTAACTTCATATGGGTCATTAGGTTTCCAGTGGGAGACGAAACTAAGGTTGAAGAGGCACTACCTGAGGGGTTTCTTGATAGAGTGAGAGATAGAGGTATGATTATCAATGGATGGGCCCCACAGGCAAAAATTCTAACGCATTCAAGTCTTGGTGGGTTTGTGAGTCAGAGTGAATGGAATTCAGTAATGGAAATCATTGAGTTTGGTGTCCCGATCATAGCCATTCCCATGCACTGTGACCAACAACCTTTAAATGCTAGGTTGGTGGTTGACATTGGTTTAGGAATGGAGGTTAGGAGGGATTACTGCGAGAAGCTTCATGGAGAAGAGGTAGCCAAGGTGATAAAAGATGTGATATTAGACAACAAAGGGGAAGATATGAGGAGAAAAGCAAGAGAACTAAGAGAAAACATAAGATTGAAAGGAGAAGAAGAAATAAATGTGGCGGTGGGGGAGATATCACAACTTTGTCATAAAAGTAAGGCGCAGTAGTGCCTACTATTACGTCGTCAAACCCGGATATGTTGGTTCAATAAACAATAATATTACATCGATTAAATTTTAAGTTCAAATGACATGACAGTTGATTATTTAAAATTTTTATTGAAACCCAAATGATATCACATCAATCAAAGAAGTTCAAGTCAACTGTGATGTCATTTGAATTCCAAATTTAGTTTTAAAATTTGATCAATCTAACATTACTGTACAATAAAAAAACAAAAATCGAGGATTAGACCCACATATCTAGAGTTGGAGTGCATCAAACCTAGTTTTAATAAATGCCCATAGTTTGTGAGTTCACTATGTTCATTTATGGTTTGAATTGTACACGTAAACACACTTGGTTGAAACGATTTCATGTGTGAAAAAAAAGTCATTAATATCTATAATTCTATGTTGTATTCGATTTGCATGCCATCTTATATGTGTGGTAACATGATGGGGCAGATTTAGTATGGGGGCTGTATTTTTAAAATTTTCAAAATTTTTGAATCTTGTCCCCACTAAAAATTTTATAAAGTATAGATGGAATTAATGTAATTTTCAAACCATTAAACATAACTTTTGCACCTCATTCATTTCACGCTCTGCTACAATGAATCAACAAATTCCACTCCAAAAAGCTTGTCTATTCTAATTAAAAATTCGGTACAAGAAGACCCAGATACAAAGAACTAGATCTAAAATATAAGCAACAAATACACACAAGTATTGTGAATTTATGAATTATATTATTGTGAATTTATGGATTACATTTTGATTATGTGTAATACATTATGTCATTAATTACGAACTTAATAACGAACTATTAAATTTAAATCTAATTAGAAAAAATCATTTTTTAATCAATTATGAATATATTTCTTGTAAGAAAATTAACACTGGAACAATCCCTTCCTAGTCAAGAAATATACAATCTTTTGATGTGAAGTCTTTTTTGTTGTCTGTTTTTTGTACATCGTTGATATATATGAGTTGTGTATCTAAATAACATTTTTTGATAGAATTGTACATAAAAAAAAATTTGTTGCCCCCACTAAAACAAAATACTGGCTCCACCCCCGGTAACATGGTAAGAATATATTCCCACTTCTACTCAATTAACTAGTGGAGAGATAATTTGTTCACACGTTCATTCAGTATTTATGTATATGTTCAAGGAGGATAGATCTACCGAGGTGGGTGGGTGCGATCGTCTCCAGAAAATTCCTCTTATTATAGTGCTATTAGTTACGAATGTATCAAAATTACATAGGCTAGTCCTCCCTAGACTTGTTCGTAAATTTAAAGATTGCGTCCTAACCTAAACTACCCGCGGATCCATTCCTACTCTCCACATAGTCAAGACAACAATGGATATTGAACTTAGTTTCATTTTCTACGTAAGAAAAATTGAACCATCTTTCTCTGTCATGTTGTACTGCGGATAAAGACAGAAAACCATGAGGCTCTATCCCCCTTCCACCCTCTTGCCCATCCCTCGCAACATCGTCCTCAGCCACCTAATTCATGCTAAATCTCCCTCTACTTTTTTGGATAATTAAATAGATTTTTTATTTCCAAAACAAAGATATACAAACTAACTCAAAATACTTTCAGTGCTATATACAAAGTAATTCTATCAAGAAGATATAAAAGGACCTAGGCTACAAGATCTTGAACTCATCAGTAATGTTAGACTGATCAAATTTTGAGACTAAATTTGAAGTTTAAATGACATGATAATTGACTTGACCTTCTATGATTGGTATGATATCATTTGGGCCCCAATAAAAACTTCAAATAATCAAGGGTTCTTTGGAATTCGGAACGCCTAATTAGAATTTTTTGGTAAAAAAACATAGAACAAAATATTTTGAAAAAAAGTACATAGTTAAGTTACAAAGACATAAATGTCTATTTTAGGATTATTTAATTTAAAATCTTTTATCTTTAATGTACTTTGATTCATGTGTGTTTGTTAATACATATAAATACGTATTTAATGCACATTGATTCATGTGTATTTGTTAATAAGGTATATATATATATATATACTTCTTGTTAAATCTCTTATCTAAATTTTGAATTATCTTTAATGCACCTTGATTTATCCGTATTTTTTTTTTGAAAAGTGATTTTGTTTTCAAATTATATTTAATGCACCTTAATTCAAGCTTTTTTTTTTTTTGGAAAATTGTTTTATTTTCAAATTAATTTAATATCCAAATAATGTAATAGTGTAACAAAGACACTATAACAAAAACAATGTTCAGTAGTTTTGTGTATGTGGTAACAAATTCAAAATAGAGATATACTATTTTGAATGAAATTATATGAAACTATATGTTTGACAAAATATAATAGTACAATATTTTTGTGTAAATAGTTTGTTACACTATTATTATTATACTGTTACACTATTAGTGTTACACTGTTACACTATTAGTGTTATACTGTTACACTTTTATTGTTATAATAGTATTGTTCCACTATTACACCATTCGGATATTAAATTAATTTGAAAATAAAACTACTTTCCAAAAAAAAAAAAATTCATGAATCAAGATGCATTAAAAAATAATTCAAAATTTAGATAAGATATTTAACAACAAGTATATACATATATACATACATAAGTATTTATATAAGTGTATATATATATAACGCATGAATCATATATATTAAAATAAACATATATATATATATAACGCATGAATCAATGTGCATTAAAATATAATTTATATACATATACGTTTTTATATATACATGAATACAAATTTTAAAACTCAAACAAGTATATATATATATATTAAAGTTCTCCCATAAAATTAGGAGATGTTTAATACACCACTTTACAAACAAAAAAAAAAAAACCGTTGATGAAGTTTTTGGTCCAAGAAATTTTTGTTGCCATGTTCGTTGGAGCATGTTGGAGGGTAAAAATATATACCAACGAAAATTAATTTTCCTTAAACGATGCGGAGGAGAGAGAGACTAAAAATTGGGAGAAGATTGGGTTTAGGCTAAATATCTTGCCTTAACCTTGAGGATAGGTCAAGACGTAATAGGGATGAATTATAAACTTAGACGTCTAAAGTTCGAATATTTTCAATTCCTTGGCTAGGTCATGAGTGATTTATCCCTCATAAATTATAATACCCTAGTTTTAGTGTAGATGACCTACCTTTGACCGAACCAAAGAAGAAATTAATCGAAGTATGCGTAAACTGACCCGAACACTCTAATCGTTAAACCAATTTTTTTTTTTTTGCCTTAAACGATGTAGTTTCATTTTTCTCCTTTTTTCCCACGAAAATATTTCTTCAATAAATGTCAAGTAGAGTTTTATTCAATTTTACGGACTACAATTAATTTATTGACCAATTTAAAAAACATATTTAAAAAATATATAAAATCAATTTTTTTTATAAGCTTTGAAATTGTCCTCTCCTAATACTAAATTAGTGGGAAAATCCTTTTTCATTTGGGCGGCAATGATCCTACCATATATTTTGTTGATTGTATATACTTATTTGATGACAAATTGATATTTTCCTTATTAAAAACGCTTCTTTTGTACGAAAATTAAAAATTTCCTATGTAAAAATTATTTTTCTTGCAATGGGAAGAGAACAAGATAGACGTGAAAACTCTGAGATAGCTTTGTCTCTCTATAATCTACAAAACTGTTGAATTGGACATGATGTAGACCCAACACGAACCCGGTCTAAGATTGAAATGCTAGAGATGAATAAGTACAAAACAGTTACGGTACGTCTTGGGAAGCTAACTATTGTCTTTCATAATGTGTTCTGATATTATATTAAGGGTTAATCTCATTTTATATTTTAAAAGATTGTTTAAATCTTAATTTGTACCTCTAAAAATTAAAAATTTTAATTTACACTTTCAAAGATAGAAATTTGTATCAATGTGCATCCCCAAAGATACAATATCTCAATTTTTACCCTCAAAGATAGAAATTTGTATCAATGTACACCTAAAATTAAATTGATAAATTATACCTAGATCCCCTCATGTTTGTCACTTAATCATTTAAACTCCTTCACATTTAGAATATTCCCCTTACATCTCATAACGTTTGTGCATGTGTAACACATAACCACTTTTCGTTGATATCTGTTAATATAATCGTTAAAAAATATGATTTTATCCTAATAAAAAATTATAATTTCATATTACCTTTTATTTTGTGGATTCGATATACTCTAAAGTTGAAAATCAAGCTTACCATTTGAATGTCTAATAAAATGTAGATATTTATATAAAAGGTAATATGAAAAACATTATATAAATATTTACATTTTATTAAACATTCAAATGGTAAACTAGATTTTGAACTTTAAAATATATTGAACCCATAAAATAAAGGGTAATATGAAATTATATTTTTTAACGGTTATATTAATAGATATCAATGAAAATGAGTTACGTGTTATACGTGCATAAATGTCATAAGATGTATGAGTAATATTCTAAATGTGAAGAGGTTTAAATGATTAAGTAACAAGTATGAGGGGATTTAGGTATAATTTATCAATTTAGTTTTAGGTGCACATTGATACAAATTTCTATCTTTGAGGGTGTAAATTGAGATTTTTTATCTTTGGAGTGCACATTGATATAAATTTCTATCTTTGAGGGTGCGAATTAAGATTTTTAATTTTTGGGGGTGCACATTGATACAAATTTCTATCTTTGAGGGTGTAAATTAAAATTTTTTATCTTTGAGAGTATAAATTAAAATTTGAACAATCTTCCGGAATAAAAAATGAGATTAACCCTTATATTAATGATGATTTTTGTTTGGTAGCCGAGAGTAGGTGATGCATTTATTATTTCAATGACTTTGAAAAAACACTTACAAGAAACTGTGGGTTGCCGGAGAACACTAACTTTTCTAGAAAGAATAATTATGTGTACACATTGTTTTTATCAGCCCCATGTTATTATGTGTCTATATCTAATATGCCATATACATTAAATCAACGCAGAAGAACCTCAATTCACACACACAGAGGCACAGAGAGAGAAAGAGAGGGAGGGAGGGAGAAGGGTTCATGGGCACCCAACAAACTAATTTGAGTGTTCTTATGCTTCCATGGTTGGCTCATGGTCATATTTCTCCCTTCCTAGAACTAGCCAAAAAGCTTGCAAAGAGAAACTTCCATGTATACCTCTGTTCTACACCTATCAATCTTAGTTCCATTAAGGAACGAATCACTGAGTTCGAGAATCAATCTCTCTCAATACAAACGGTGGAACTCCATCTACCCTCCTTGCCTGAACTTCCTCCAAAATACCACACAACCAATGGCCTCCCAATCCACCTCAATCCGACTCTCGACAAAGCCTTTGAAATGGCAAGTCCGAGCTTCTACAACATCCTCAAGACCCTAAAGCCTGACTTGCTTATATATGATGTCGCCCAAGCTATCAAGCAATGGCCTGCGGCAGTAGCTTCAACACATAATATTCCAGCTGTTCAATTTCTGACTTCGAGTGCAGCCATGTGTTCCTACTTCAGTCATCTTTTGTCTGCAACCGGTGTCGAATACCCTTTCCCCGCTCTTTATCTTCGAGATTTTGAGTTAGCTAAGATACGTCGTAGTGATCTTAAATCTTCAACAAGTGATGATGATGAGAATGATCGTGGACGTCCAAGCCTTTTCACAATATCCAACATCATGCTAGTCAAAAGTTGCAGCGAAATTGAGAAGAAATATATGGATTATTTCTCCGCTGTAACTAAGAGGAAGATTATGCCTGTTGGCCCACTCGTTCAAGACTCCATTAGCAAAGATGAGCAGCATTTGGAAGTTATCGAATGGCTTGGAAAGAAGCATCACTCTTCGAGTGTGTTTGTGTCCTTTGGAAGCGAGTATTTTTTGTCCAAGGAAGAGATGGAAGAAATAGCACATGGGTTAGAGCTAAGCAATGTCAACTTTATATGGGTTATTAGGTTTCCATTAGGAGACGAAACTATGGTTGAAGAGGCACTACCTGAGGGATACCTTGAGAGAGTGAGAGATAGAGGGATCATCATGAAAGGATGGGCCCCTCAAGCTGAAATTCTAAAGCATCCAAGTGTTGGTGGATTTGTGAGTCATTGTGGATGGAATTCCGTAGTGGAAAGTATAGAATTTGGTGTCCCAATCATAGCCATACCCATGCAACTTGATCAACCTCTGAATTCTAGGTTGGTGGTTGAAATTGGTTTAGGCATGGAGGTTTGGAGGGACGATAGTGGGAAGCTTCACAGAGAAGAGGTGGCGAAAGTGCTAAAAGACGTGGTAGTTGGGAACAAAGGGGAACATATGAGGAGAAAAGCAGGAGAATTGAGAGAAAACATAAGATTGAAAGGAGATGAAGAGATAGATGGAGCTGTGGAGGAGCTAGCACAACTTTGTCGTAAGAGTAAGGCCTATAATGACTATTAGACCCATGATATGCATTCCAAATTACTTAGCAAGTGTTGTTTACCATTTGAACGTGGATGGCTGGTTCAATGAATTTCACCAAAAAGAGTTAATGGGATCTATTAATTCAACACTCCGCATTGATTTAGTGACTGATACGAGTCAGTCAATATCTACAGTCCTTAGTTGTGTTCATTTTGCTTTCCTTCTTTTGTGTGGTTTTTGGTAATAGTAAGATGTCCATTTCTATTTTACTCACTAATTGCCCACAAGAGAGAAAGGGTTTTTAACCATGTAAGTTGTTCACTCTTTCTTTCAGTAATTATATACATTGTGATGAAAAACCAACTTTATAAAGCCTGAATTTTGTGAAAGCTAGAACCTGGGTATGGCCCCTTGTATATCATGACTTGTTCCTTGTTTACACCAATGAAACATTGACATTTTTTTTTTAAGTGATATGAGGATTGACAGAAGACTCGTTCTTCTGATACACAAACATTAATGACTCAATTGACTCATTACAGTTCCAGATGAGGGTAGACCAGTGGGAGAAAACAAAAACACACCCAAGCAGTTGGCCAAACACCATACCAAACGTTATATTTATAGCAAAGAGCATTTCTGGCAGTAGCTCCAAGGACCATTTACTTGCAGAACAATATACTTGTCCCAAAGACTAAGTCGTAATTTTGTTAATTCGGTGGAAAATTTAATTGATATACTCAAAATTAGTATTATATTGATCTCCAACATCAATGGTAGTTCCCTTTGCATTTCTCTTCTTAAATGAATATTGATATCCGCTGAATTTTAGGCATGGGCCACCATAACCCCGGAGTTCAATAAGTCCAGAAGACCTCTCCTATTTATTAACCCAAAGGGAGAAGCCCCAATCAACCCATGCCAAAGAGTAGAGAGGGCCAAAAGGAAAAAGCCCGACGGCACTAGAGGTCCAACAGCACAGCCCAGGCCCAGCTCAACGACTAGCTAAAGGATAACCCAGTACTGAGAAGCCAAGTCCTCACCTTGGGAGCACCCCGCTATGCCACGTGTCCAAAGGACAGGGAGACCATCTCTGATACTTGTGGCAGTTGCACCCTCTCAGACACAGAGAGCGGTAGTACGAATAACAATCCAGAGATTGTGAGCATAGTAGCGACAAATAGCAGAGACTGTTGCAGGACAGTGACGGGGGACCCCATAAAATCAACAAAAAAGTAGAAGGAGCCACCGAGAACCCTAGAAGGAAGGACTGGTATAAATAGAACAGTGTTAACCTACCAGAAAGATCATCTCCCCCACTGTATTTCCCAACCCTAAGTTCACAATGAACTAAGCATAAGCTCTTGTAAAAAGGCTCAGTGCCAACAATCTCACTATACTCAACTGAACTCAATATACGACCTCAAGGAACAAGAAACTTCATTATAGTGGACGTAGTCTCAGTTTTTCGACTAAGGTGAACTACTTACACTCTGTGCCTTCTGTTATTCACAAGTCAACCTCGTACTCAATTGAACTCACTAATCTAAGTAGCAATTCATTGATTGGGCTTGAGCTATTACTTCTGAGACCCTATCAGTTGGTGTCGTCTGTGGGAACAGTTTTCATTATTTTCTTTTTGAGTTTTTATTTATTTGATGGTTTCAACTCGGAACATGAGTAAAGCTTTCGCCAATCCCCAAGTCCACCAAAACTTACCAGAGAACTTTTCGATCCCTAAAGTAGACGCCGAGGATCACCTCTTAGCGGCGAACCTCTCCCCACTCAATGAATTAGAAACCTACCATCGAACTACAATGCAACTAATAAAGGAGAACCAAGAATTAATGGAATGGATACACACACATCAGCTCCTTTAGTTCCCACCAGCTCGACAGGAGCCCCTTTTATCCCCAGCAGAACATGACGCCCTTCATCAGGAGCGCCAAGCTCCACCAAATAGAGTCACTGAACTCCATGAACGCAACCACTTTGGAGAAAATCATCGGAGGAGACACCCCAAAGAACACGACGAAGATGAAGCCCATAGTCGGGCTAGAGCCGCCTTCCGAGAAGACAGACCCCATCCCCTGCTGGATGCCAATGATAATACATGGGAGCAAAAAATCCGCAAACTCTAGTGGGAGCTGGGCAACATGAAAGAGGTGGTTAAGGGAAAGACTCTCGACACCATGGACTCTTTGGTCCAGCAAACTGAGTCACCATTCACTCCCAAGATCCTTCATTTTCCTCTCCCCTAGAAGTTCTGGATGCCATCAATAGAGGCGTTTGATGGGACCAAGGACCCAGTTGACCATTTAAATTCCTATAAAAATCATATGAAACTCCAAGGGTACCCAGACCCAATCCACTGCCGAGCTTTTACCATCACCCTTAAGGGTCGACAATAGCCTAGTTGAATAAGCTACAACCAGCGTCGGTCTCCTCCTTTAGAGAACTATCAATATAATTCATGTCGAACTTCATCGGAGCAAGGACGTATAGAAAACCGCCCTACCACCTTCTAAGCGTCAAACATGGGCCCAACGAGTCCCTAAAAGCTACGTGCAGCGCTTCAACCCGGAATGTCTGAAGGTGAAAAGTGTGGACGAAACGTTTGAGCTGACCACCTGCATGTCTAGGGCTCAGAGTGCAGTCCAAAGACCTCTTCTTCTCAGTCGCAAAGAACCCTTAAGCCATTATGGCTGAGGTATTGGTGAAAGCCAAGAAATACATCAACGGCGAAGAGGCCCTCTGCCTGAAAGGAAGCTTGCCAGCGGCGGAAGGAGACAAGAAAAAAAGGGATTGCAGTCCCAGGAAAGAAAAAAGACACGATCGGTCCCCGAGAGGAGACCACTTCCCGAGGAGAGGGAGGGAGCCTTCTCCTAAAAGGAGAAGCAACGTCTGAGACTGCCTAGGACCCCCTCCATAGGAATTACAGCCGCAATACGCCCTAGCGCGACTTCCACCCCTCGTCACCTCGATTGCTCAGGTCCTCCACAAGGTTCATCTGATGGTCGCCCCAAATGAAGTCCGACCCTAGTAGATGGGATGCCTCCAAATACTGCGAGTACCATAAAGACACGGGGCCATGAGATAAACGACTACATCCAGCTCAAGAAGGAGATTGAATACCTAATCCAAAGGGGATACCTACGCCACTACATGGCAAAAGTAGGAAGAGCTCAGAATAATCAAAGGCGGGAGGCCTAAGCTGCCACAGCACCTGCTCAACAACACCAACAAGCTCTTGGTAAAATTTGGATCATCTCGGAGGGCTTCACAGGAGGGGGTGAGTCCAGCTCAACGTGGAAGGCGCACACCAGAAGAGCCGGATTGAAAGATTTCCTCGAGGTCCAAGCCATAAGTAAGGCACCCCGCCAAGATGTGGAGATCAATTTTTTTGACACGGATCTCGAAGGGTGCCAACACCCACATGATGACCCCCTAGTCATAAAGACGATTATCACAAACAAAACTATACATCGAGTGCTCGTCGATAACGGCAGCTAGGTCGACATCATTTTCTTATCTACTTTTGATCAGCTCGGCATAGAGAGGTCGAGACTCGTACCCGTGAAAACCCATCTCCTAGATTTCTTAGGTGAAAGAGTCCTACCAATCGGCTCTATCTAGCTCGTCCTCACTATAGGAGATCAACCTTGCTAGGTTATAACCACCGCCCATTTCTTGGTGATGGACGCCCCTTCTGCCTACAACATCCTATTAGGAAGGTCGTCCCTCAACTCCATCAAGGCGATACCCTCAGCTTATCATTTGGTGATGAAGTTGCCTACCAAGAATGGGGTCGATATGGTCAGAGGAGACCAGCGCCTCACTAGGGAGTGTTATGTGACATCAATGAGGCAAAAGGAGGTAGAATCAGTCTAGTTGGAAGACTTAGATATGAGGGATGAGCTGTAAACCCAGCCTACCCCCACAAAGCAACTGGAACCTGTGCAGCTGGATGAGGACCTAGGGCACATAGTCTTTGTGGGCTCCATGCTGCTCTCGCTTATTAAGGAGAAGCTCATCTCATTTCTGAAAGACAACATTGACGTTTTCACCTGGAGACAAGAGGATATGGAAGGGATAGATCCCGCAGTGATTATGCACAGGCGAGAGCATTGATCTGAACTACAAGTCGGTGTGGTAAAAAAGTAGGAGTTTCGCGCCAAATAGACAGAAAGCCATTAATGGGGAGGTGAAAAAGCTATTACGAGCCAAAGCTGTCAAGGAAGTAGATTACTTGACCAAGCTAGCTAACGTTGTGCTTGTGAAGAAAGTAAACAGAAAATGGCGACTTTGCATCGACTTCACCAACCTGAACCGAGCATGCCCCAATGATAGTTTTTTGTTGCCCTGGATTGACATAATAGTCGATGCTACAGCTGGCCATGAGCTCCTCAGCTTGATGGACGCTTTCTCGGTGTATAACTAGATCAGAATGGACTTGAACGACCAAGAGAAAACTCCGTTCATCACAGAATAGGGGATCTTATGCTATTAGGTTTTCCCTTTCGGACTAAAGAATGTCGGTGCCACCTATCAAAGGTTGGTCAATAGGATGTTTCGTGAAAAATTGGGCTCGACCACGGAGGTATATATAGACGATATGCTTGTGAAGTCGCTCAAAGTCGAGTCCCACATTCAACACCTTGAGGAGGCGTTTGGAATTATGCGCCAGTATAGAATGAAGTTGAACCCGACAAAGTGTGCCTTTGAGGTATCAGCAAGGAAGTTATTGGGTTTCATAATCAATAGCAGAGGGATTGAGGTGAACCCAAAGAAGGTAAAGACCGTCCTCGAGATGAAAGCCCCCACTAACACACGAGAAATACAACGCCTGACCAGGAGAATAGTAGCACTCAACCGATTTGTATCATGCTCCAGCGATAAGTGTCAGCCTTTCTTCAAGGTTCTAAAGGCAGCCTTTCGGTGAGACAAAAAATGTGAAGAAGTTTTCCAAGCCCTCAAGGCTTATTTGGCTTCTACACTAGTGCTAGTGAGTCCTCAAGAAGGAAAGGTCCTGACCC